TGAAGAAGCTTCTTTGGAGGAGAAGCGAAACGTCTTCAAGAGGAAAAAAAAACAACAACAAGAGAGTCCAATTGCCTCCTGAAAAAAGCATTTTTGCAACACTGTGCTTTAAAAGTTAATTCTTTCTTCCCACATCCAGCTTCTGGAACAAAGAATTGAGATTGGGTTTAGAAGAAACCTGAACATCATCACTCAAAGATGCCACTGATCATTTCCAGGCTGTGCCCGAAGACCGTAATAAAAATAATTGAGAAAATTACTTAAGAAAAAGCATTTTAGACTTTCAACAGTGTAAGAATACAGCTGCGAGGATGCCAGCTGAATTGGAAAGAGCATCACATTTCCAGTTTTTTTTTTTTTTGGTAAAAACGGAACACCCAGTTCTAACAGGTGGCCTGAGCATAATTTGGAGGTACAGAACAGCTGGGGAAATCTTCCCCGTCTCTCTCTCCTGCGAGAGAAAAATCTTCTCTTTGTGATCGATTTCCCAAATGGAAAGAAAGCTGCAGGCCGAGTTTGCAAGTTGAAAATGTATTTAGATAATTTGGAGCTTGCAGCGTTTCCAAGCTCCAAAACGGGGATATAATTGTTTATGGATTCGATTGGCATCTACAATATATATTTTTTAAGGTACGCAGATCATGGAATGCTCACAAAACTTAAATCTGGATTACGATCAGAATGTTGAGTTTTTGCTTATACGGTAGAACGATATTTTGTGTGGGTTGTAAGAAAAACGACGACAAGAAGGTAGAAGAAAAGGAGAAAAATGTAAAAGATCTAAACATATAAAGAAATAGCTTCTGATATCCTTCAAAGCAGTTAGAAGGACAATAACATTTAAAATCCCCATTCCCTAACCACCCCACTAACCTGCTTTCCAGCTCTCTTCTCCTATGCAGGGCAACAGAAGAAGACCCAGCTGGACCCCTGTTAGCTGGGACTTGGGAGGCAGCAAATAGATGGGGGCGAGGCCAGCCAGAGATGGTATTAACTAGTTCTCCAAACTACTGAAAATTTCTGCTACTGGTTTGTCAGAACGGGCTGAATACCACCTCTGGTCAGGGGTGTCAAACTCAATTTCATTGAGGGCCGCATCAGGGTTGTGTTTGACCTCGGGGGGGGGGAGTGGGAGTGGCTATGGCCAGAGTGGGTGTGGCTAGCATGAGGTCACTCATCGAAGCTCCGCTTTTGGCTGCGGTCTCCTGCAGCCCTCTGCCAGCAAAAATGAAGCTCAAGGGAGCCGTGTGCGACCCTCCTGAGCTCTGTTTTTGCTGGCAGAGGCACTGCAGGCCGGTCCTTTGCCATTTCCAGGGCGGCCCGCGGGCCAGATCTAAGCACCCCTGCGGGCCGCATCTGGCCCGTGGGCTTTGAGATTGACACCCCTGATGTAGGTGATCACAATTACATGGAGAGGAAAAAAGCTCTGAAGGCTTAAGAATGATGATCAACCATTTTCTGCAGGGATGAGCAAATGAACGGGTACCTGAATGCACAGCACATATTCAGTGGCTACCAGGCGCTTGAAAATGACAGCGGATCGCAGGATGCCTTGCTGGTCAAGCATGAATTCTTTCTCTTCGTTTCCAGCCAGGAGGGCGAAGGTGAAAGGCGGGCCATTGTGCAGGGAGTCTTTATCCGTTACCACCAATTGCAGAATACTGGTTCCCACTGGCTTGTTTTCCTTTGTGCATCGTCGCAGAATGTCGCGTTAAAAAGAGAGCGGCGGAGAAAACGAGAGACAGAGTTTTAATTACATATCTTGGCATGCTGATGAGCAACGTGTGAGAATACGGCACACATATGTTTCCCCCACTCCCCTATCTGCCACCTGTTATAAAATGTGAATTTTCCTCCCACTTTTGTATTGTTAGAATAACCTATTGACTGGTTAGAGATGACCACTTAGAGCAGGGGTGTCAAACTCGATTTCATTGAGGGCCATATCAGGGTTGTGTTTGACCTCGGGGGCGGGTGTGGTCACAGTGGGCATGGCCAGCTCAACGTCACTTGTGTCAGGGGCGCCTGTGGTGGTCCAAGTGCTCTGCCAGCGAAAACAGGCTCCCGAGTTCAGTTTTCAGCTATGATGGCCTCCTGCAACCCTCGGCCAGGGAAAACGGAGCTCGGGAGGGATGCACACAGCCCTTACAAGCTTTGTTTTCGGCTGCGATGGTCTCCTGCAACCCTCTACTAGTGAAAACAGAGCTTACAGTGGCTCCGTTTTCACTGGCAGAGGCACTGTGGGCCAGTCCTTCGCTGTTTTTAGGACAGTCCCACGGGCCAGATCTAAGCACCCCGCAGGCCGGATCTGACCCACGGGCCTTGAGTTTGACACCCCTGACTTAGAGCAAGAATTATAGTCTTTAATTAGGGATGCATTTCCACTTTCATCTCCAGTAAAAGCTAATAGTTTCCTGACTCTAAGGGCCAGTGCTCATCTCAGTTTCCTGGCTGAAGGAGCCAGTGTTGTCCGAAGGCACTTAATCTGACCTTCATTTGGCCAAGATGCTGTTACATTCCACCCAAGTGGTACCTATTTATCTATTTACATCTGCATGCTTTCAAATTGTTAGGTGAGCAGGAGCTGGAGCAAGGAACAGGAGCTCACCCCATCACAGTGCTTGGGTCTCAAACCACCAACCTTCTAGTTGGCATCTTAACTGCTAGGTCACTGCACTCCACAACCTCCAGTAGCCTGTACTATTTAATGAACTCAACTTTAGGTTACTATATTTTATCAACAAGGAAGAGGAGAGGTGTCCTACATTGGTTTCAATCATCTTTGGCAACTTTCTGATGTTTATCCGATGTTCCTTCCCTGCTATCTATGTCATTATTTCTCAACCTTGCCACCATTGTAAGAAGTATAAACTTACAATTCCAGGCAGTTGGAGTCCATACATCTTAAAATGGCTGGAGGTTGAGAAACAATGACATAGATATGTTGTGCACCATTAAAGTGTGAGCAGTTGGTAGCATTGGCAAGTGGTGCGGTGGCCTAGAGGTGGAGCTCTCGCCTCACAATCAGGAGGCTGTGAGTTCGATCCTAGGTAGAGGCAGATATTTATCTCTCTCTCTGGGCACAATGAGAATATATCTGCTGAATGTAACTCTGCATTGGTGACAGGAAGGGCATCTGGCCAGTAAACAGCTCCATTCAGTTGCCCAGACTCCATCCCGCAAGGTATTATGGGGTCATAAAATGATGATGATGATGAGTTGGTAGCATTGGTAGGTCGAAATAGTTTTATTACTATTTGAGAATGTACCGTAGGTGAGAATTGTAGGTAAAGGAATGAGTATGAGAAGGCAGGCCAACACTAATTTCTCCTCCTCCACGTCTTATCCTATGGCCAATAGGTTAGAAAACTCAACTCTGCAATTCAATAAAACAGCTCCATCCAAATTCCCTGAGACTTGGAATCCTTGCAGAGACCTCCTAAGCAAACAAGAACTTTGGAGTCTCATTCCCATTTATGAACCAGCTTATGGCAACGGCGGCTTCCTTTCCTGATAAAGAAAGGTATGATACCGTGCATTGCAAGCTGATAAATCTTGAGATCAAAACTGCGTGCGAGCATCTTTATATCGTAAAAGTCAGAAGCAGAGGGCCCTTTGGGAATGGCTTGGATCAACTTACCTGGATCACGGCTGTATAATTGGCAGGTGTAAACACAGGACTGTTATCGTTCACATCGGAAATGTCAACGTTGACCGTCACCGTGGCTGTCAAAGAAGGGTTACCACTGTCTCGAGTCTGCAGGACTAATGAATATCCTGAAACCTGCAGAAACGTTAAAGAAAAACGTTAGTCTAGAAAAGGGTCCAAATTCTATCCTTCTCTCCCTCCCCCATCTCTTTCTCATCTCTTTCTCTCTCATCTTTCTCTTTCTCTCTCATCTCTCCTTCTCTCTCATATCTTTCTCTCTCTCATTCTCATTTCCCTCTCTCATCTCTCTTTCTCTCTCATTCTCATCTCTCTTTCTCATCTTTCTCTCTCTCATTCTCTTCACTTTCTCATCTCTCTTTCTCTCATCTCTCTCTCTCATATCCCTCTCCCTCTCATCTCTCTCTTTCTCATCTCTCTTTCTCTCTCTTTCTCATTTCTCTCTC